GGTGTGTGACCCAATCAGCGTCAACAATATATTGATAAAGTTGACAATATATTACCTAACTTTAAAGTTTGTTATTTTTAAAATACAAATAGTAAATGGTGATAAACAATAGTTTCTATAAAAATGTTTGTGAAGCATGTGGTGTGAAATCGATGGTCAAACAATTTCTATGGGAATGTTTGTCAAATATTTGTTATAAAAATGTTTGACCAGTAAGTCTATCAAAAATATGTTCAATCAACATTCAAATTACATATGATAGATCTACATTTTTTTAGTTAGCCAACATGATAAACTAGTACAAATATAACAAGAATTTGAGTCGAGAATTATCAGTGAATTGAAATGATATTATCTGTGAATGGAGAAAAAAAAGACTGCTAGGTCAGGTGCGCAAGGACAAGGGAAATAATACTAATAGTTTTTTTTCCTCGACCTCTGCCTCTACCACTTCTGTGGTCCTCCCTTCCTGTCACCATCACTGGAAAAGGGACTCTCAGCTAGTCCCCCCATTTTCAACTTGCTTTGCTATGAACTCCATCTCCACACTCGGTAACTTCATGACCCATACAGCCACAGTAGAAACAAAAATTTGGAAGCTTCTCATACTGCGCGCACAAGATATTTCATTCTTTCCTTGAGTGTGATCGGCACCACCCGTACCAGTGGCTTGCTCAAATCAAGCCACACCCGAGCTCTCAGATATGGTGTAGAGTTAATCCTCCCCTCATTCACCACAACGGTGATAATATCTCCAACCTTCTTTGCTACCTTCTCTGCTAACCACTCCCCCTCTTCCTCATCAAGCCCTCCGGTACTCCTTGAATTCTTGCCCAAACCGGAATCCTGTCCAGCTTGTATTCTAGGACATTTGAGAAACCATCATACTCCTCAATCACAATGGTCGCTCCTCTAAACAACCATGGACTCCCATCCATCACTCTCGACCAGTCACCAAGGCAGTGAAGCTGGACCCGAAAAAGATTTGAATGTTACCTCCTTCGTCGCAGCCCAGGCGTTCCTCATGGTGCTGAAAAGCGCTGCGTGACTGAAAGGCTTTGACGTGTTAACCCTAAAAAGGGCCAGCCAGCGAACGTCCTTCACAAGTTCATCAAGTTCGCTCGAGAAATCGAGATCTTCCTCTTCCTCCCCTTGTAGATTCAAACCCTCCAGGCATTCTTCTAGACTCAGCGCACTTCCATCTTCCTCCATCTCCGTGCCCTTCCCTTCTCCTTCACCGTTCTGTTCGCCATGCAAACCTCGTTGACGGCTCCCAGCCTCCTCACGGAGAAGGAACGATCAAGTCGCAGAGATTTGTGGAAGAGATCACGTAGATCGCTTCTGTTTTGGTGGACTTCGGCGTCGCCGCCGAAGGAAAGCAAAACCCTAGTTTAGGGGATACGACAGAGGTTGTGTTTTTTAATAATATAATAGTTTGTATACAAAGGAAACTATAATCAAAGCAAAGTGTTACTACATGATTAGTTTTTTCAGTAAATAAAAGTTTTGTGGTCCGTTTTACCTGTCAATGCTTTGTAAGGTTTTGCAGTTGGAAGGTACATGTATTACTGCCGTTCCAAAATGATGCAATTTTGAGTTTCTATTGAGCTTCCAAAATGATGTAATTTTGAGTTTCGATTGAGCTCCAAAATTCAACTGTAAGCAAAAGAATGACAGCCCGGTCCAATACATGAGAAAAAGGAAGAAAAAGAATAAGCCCATTATGAGAAAGAAGAAGAGCATCGATGTCCGCTCAAGAGTAGGTCCAGTTTGTGAAAAAGAATTGAAGAAAGAGGTTATCTTGCACTGAACTAGACTGCGACCATAAATACCTCACCTATACACATGAGTTTTTGCCTCGGCATGTATGATTTTTTTTTTTGATAGCCACTCGCCATGTATGATTGTGTGGCTAGCTTTGCTTTGCAAGCCAACAACTTTGCCCCTACTGGTGAACGGAATTGGCTCACCTCGGTTGGCATGGAAATAAACGCTGGCCTTCCTCACCACCGTCGGCTATCGGCTACCACTCTCTCTAGGTGCACGCCGTGCTAACTCAAATCAGCCCGGCTGCTGCTGGGGGCCCGTCGAGTGGGAGCTTATTGTTGGCTCCTGGGCCAGGTGGAGCCCCGTTAAGCACAATGCCGAAGTCAGGCCACCGGAAAAGGGAAAGATTTGTAATTTCGATATTTGTTTGGTGAACACTGGAATGTCCTTCGATCGTTGCTACCACTATTACCACTTACCAGGCGATAACAATGGTGGACATTGGGGACGGCACGGAAACCTCTTTCTGGTATGGTGCCTGGTACAACGATGACGCATTTACTGAACGTCTTCTGGCAATACGCAGTCACTGCACCAGGAAAACAATTTCAGTAGCCCAGGTCAATGCTTCAAGTCTCGATGCCCCAAACCTCTTCGTGCAGCCCCTGTCTGCCCAAGCCACTTCTGAATTCAGTCAATTGCAACATAATGTAAGCCAAACAATGCTCAGTGACAGCTGACAGTAGAGACAAATGTTGGGGACCTTTCTGCCTCAATCAGGGGAAGCTGGATTCTAGCAGCCTGTACTGGCTCCTGCAGTACATGGATGCGCCATCACATCCTGCCGCAAGTTCATTTGGGAGAGCCATGCTCCGCCGCGAGTGCAATTCTTTGTCTGGTTGCTAGTGCATGGCAGGCTACAATGGAGAACCACCCTGTTCAGAAAAACCATTGTGGATTCACCTATGTGTGAGATCTGCAAAGCAGTCTGATGAAACAGGTACACACATTGTCTTTGACTACCGTTTTGCTGAAGATTTCTGGGTGAAATTGGGGGTTTCAACCTGCGTTATCATCGACTGATGGACGTATCTTCAAGATGGAATGCCCAATCCACTTCCCTAACAAGCACTTCAGCACCTTCATCGCTCTTTGTAACTGGCACCTGTGGAAATGTCGCAATGGTGTGATATTCAGAGATGAGGCTCACACACCGACAGGTGTTCCGGCTAATTCACAATGAGGCCAAACTATGGAAGGTTAGGTTGCCCAAGAAAGACAGCCATGCCTGGTGTCAACTGCTGTTTCCACTATGTAATGAATGACACTATCAATCAGATGTAAAAATTGTAAACTTTGAACTCCGATCGGACCGTTTTGGGCCTAGATCAATGAAAAATAACAATGAGGTGGGGAGCCACTTCCTCGTTGACCCTGAAAAAAATTCAGATCTTGTCCCATTCTGTTTATTCCTAATTCAAAGGTAGTCCCCCGTATCATCAGCCCTCGATACACACGTCGGTCGCAAGTTCCATTTCGTTAGAAGGATTGTTTCTATGCCCCAAACTGCAAATTTTAGCTCTTACAAAAATGAGTCATTTTTATTCTCAAGGAAAGCAAGATGATCATCAGCAGTTATAAACTTGATGCTCAAAAAGCGATTCTTCCGTCCATCTTTTTTTACGTCCCAAAGTATCCTTGTGTCTAACTTGATATGTATTTGATTCAGACTCATGATCCGTGCTCGTAGGAGCTAGAACCGTGTGTGTTTATGCGTCGAGCAGGTATAATATTACCATAACCAGTCCAGTAGCAAATGGTTGTGTCCATTGATCCATCGCCATTGAGCAGGAATTCCCTCTTAATAAGTAGGGATGTTTCTGGTGATATAGAAGCTCATGCACCAGACAAGGATGGCAAGGCTGCTTAATTATCCATGTAGTTCACCTTGAATTGAGTGAGCTCGGATTCAAACAAATTTTAATTTTTTTTAAAAAATCATTTTATTGAAAATACCTCTTATCATGATGTTGACTTGATCAACTCTATGACACATGGTTCATTGCGAAAAGTTTTGAAGTTGTGAATTTTGAATTAGGACAAAAAAGGGAAAAATATTTGACTTAAGTTTGTCCTAACAAGTACATGGAACACACATCACAAGAATTTTTTTTAAAATATTGGTATTTATATACAAAAAACACGGGATATTACATTCGTCATGTTGTATTGTATTCCACAACTACACATACTTAATACCGAAATATCTCATCAGATGAGCAATTTGGAATGATCTCTGGAGTATTAAGCCCTACTCAACAAAGGTGCAGTAAACATGGGTAAAGCCATGATCAAGGATACTAGCCCTCTCCTCAAAATCCCATGTACCACCCTAGAGAAGGTGTAAACTATGAGAGGTAGAATTTTTTCACCCGTTGCAATGCACAGTCATATTTGCTAGTTATCCATGTATGTAATAACAAAGCAAAAATTGAGGTTGGTTTGAGTTATGATATGGTGAATAATCGTTATGGTTGTGATGTGACCTAGTGGATGGTTATGGATTTGTGAACCTACCTAGATTCTAGGGATCGGTTCTCGAAGTCGATAACCCGGCTTAATAGCATAATCACGAGGTCTATATGGTATACCTAGCTAAGTAACTAGGAGATGCCTGTGTGGATAATAGTCTCATAGTGACATGGCTATAGAAGAAAACTTCTACGTGGGATAGGCTTTAGGTACGAGAGTTTGCTCCTAGGCTTGTCTAGTCCTAGTTAATGAGATATTGCTTCCATGCATGCTTTGTAAGAACTAAGGTTTTGTAACGAGACCTAACCACACATCTCTCTCTCTTTGTTTTCTGCAAAAGTTGTTGGGGTTTTTTTTTTTGAGAATACGTAAAGGTTAGTTCAAGCTCAAAAAGTTATGTTGCATTCGAAAATCGAAATTGATTTTGAAGCCAAACGTAGATGGCCGGGGCCTATGGGCCGGGAACGGTGCACGCACACAAAGTCCCAAACCCTAGAGAGGTTATATTTGTTTCTCTTGTAATTTATCTTTTTAACTTGTTTTTTTAATCGGAACAATATTTTTATCTTCTAACGAATTAGTCGGAATAGTGTTTCGACCTTTTTTTTTTTCAGGTAAGTGAACGGGGCCGGAGCTTCAGCCAGTCGTCGTGTTTCCCCTTTACCCGCGCCGCCCCCCGATCATCCCACCGGCCGGCGGCCATGGAGACTCTGGCGGCGGCGCCTCGCCGTGCCAAGAGAAGGAAGCCGGGGGCGCCCAAGAGCCCGGAACAGGAGGGTGGAGCAAACATCTCGCCGCTGGTACCAGCGACGAGTGCGCCTTATTCCAGTACTCCTGGAGCCGGAGGAGACGAATCCCACATCCAAGATCGACCGCCTGGAGCCGAAGCAGAAGAAGATGGGGTCGACCGAATCAGCCGCCTCCCCGACGCCATTCTCGGTGAGGTCATCTCTCTCCTCGCCACCAAGGATGCCGCCCGCACGCGAATCCTCGCCACCCGGTGGCGCCATCTCTGGCGCTCCGCGCCTCTCAACCTCGACGGCGGTGACCTCCTCACCATCGATGTCGTCTCCCGCATCCTCTACGCCCACAGGGCCCCCGGCCGCCGCTTTCGCTTCCCCGCACAACACCTGCAGTACTACCCCGCCATTGTGGATGCTTGGCTCCGATCCCCCGCCCTCGACAACCTCCAGAAGATCGACTGCTTTGCGACGGATGGGTTGAAACTGCCACCTCAGCCGGCATCTACCTTCCGGTTCTCGTCGTCCCTTTGCGTCGCCACTTTCAGCCAGTGCCACCTCTCTGATGACATCACCTTGGCACTTCAGTTCCCCCGGCTCAAGAAGCTGGCACTTCAACGAGTCATCATTTCGGAGAATTCCCTGCATAGCATCATTGCTGCTTCTCCCGTCCTCGAGTGCTTGCTGCTTCGCAGATTCTTTGGCTGCCGCTGTGTCAGGATCAACTCATCTTGCCTTACAAGCATTGGGGTGAGTGCTGCGTATGACCGAACAATGGCCTACTTAGAAGAATTCATTGTCGAGGATGCACCCTTGCCTTAAAAGGATTCTGTATCTTCGATCACCACGAGGGGGGGGGGGGGGTTATGCGACTGCGTATCAGTTATTTCAGCACCTAATCTGGAGACCTTGGGTTGCCTAAGTTATGGTGACGACTCTTCCAGGCTCGCTTTGTGCTGAACGATTGTTGAGGTACCTCTTGGTTTCCTACCTCTTGCCTACAGGTTCTAAGTTGCTTTTCTGTGTGCAGAAAAAAGTCAAAAAACTTGAAAATATCGAATTTTATAAATGTGCTTATGCATGTTTCATGCAGCCATGCCGCATAGAGGGATTCCGGATCATTAACTCGACAATGCCGGCATGTACTGTCAAGATTTTAGCAGTCTATATTTTAAATCTTAGCCTGGATCTGATTATTGACTTAATGAGATGCTTCCCTTGCTTGGAGAAGTTGTATATCCAGGGTAAACCGTAAACATACTATACTAGTAAATTCATTGTGTTCATATATTCTTTGGATCTGGTTTAATATTGTGTCAAATCTTCTTGAATTGGTTATGTTTGTATACTTTTTTTTCTTTTCAGTCATACCAGGTTGTAGACAAGAATTTACGGCGCCGTAAACATCGTAATCTTATCAAAGGCCTTGACATCCGTCTCTAAGACAGTTGTGTTGAATAATTATCGAGGCATAATGTTACAAGTTAACTTTGCAACATTCTTTGTACTGTACGCAAAGATGCTGGAGTCAATGGCATTTGAGTGTCAAAGCTATGATGTGACCGATAGATTTCTTGCAGAACAGCATCAGCTGCTCCAGCTGGAGAAAAGGACTTCAAGATGTGCTCGGTTTTATTTTACTACTAAAAGTAGTGAGCACAACTTTATGCATATTAATCATGCCCATGATTTGTCTAAAACCGATCACTTTGAATGTGAAGAAACAAGGGTAGGTGTATGCGCATCCTTTGAGTAGTTACTGCTTGATTCCTTTTTCTAGTGTTGAAGTAGGGGGGTTGCTAAATGAACTATGTGTATTGTAAGATTTGTGTAATTGTGGCAGTCTGACAGTGCCACAGTTTGGCTTACTAATCTATAATCCACTGAATCTTCATGCTCAAGTAATTGGCAATGGTATTGTTTTTATCACAGACTTCATTTCATTTAAGAGCAGAGTCCGGACAGTAGCATGAAAGGCATCCAATTTACAGTAATCAGTGCTGCCTTTACTGGGCACTGGAGAGCATGAGCAGAGTGAGTGTAGGATACAGAAGGATGGGGTGGGATGGAGGCTACAAAAGATTTTGCCTGTCTAGCTAAAGAATGGGCTGAGATATTCAAAGCTCTGCCAATCTTGTAGACCTTGTATTGGTTCTCTGCGTTCTCTGCTTGAGTCGATGAAATCTTGTGTGAAAGGTTTTATTCTTCAGTCTGGTGGTGAAGCTAAGTTGGCAGCATTGAAGAAAAATTCACCAGTACTTTGACTGTCTGACAGATAATTTGAATCATGTAGGCTGAGCAGAGTGGAAATCTTGCTGCAAAGGCTATTGCCGCTGCCTCAGCATGAGTACTAATGATACATTGGTGATTGCGGCTTGGGTATGAATTGACTGTTGGATAGACTTGGGAGTTGATTATGATTGCTCCACGTCCTGCTTCTCTGCATGTCGTGGTTGGATCTGGTTCCAGAGATGCATCTGTGAAGCATGAGGGTCGTCCCTGTGGTGTCGTCTGTACTTCTCCATTTAGTTGAAGAAGCCGTACCTTGTTCTGTAGTCATCTGGTTGCTGTGCATGTCGGCATGCGCAGAAACCATTCTTCTTTGTTGTTGTAGTTGTTGTGGTTGCAGTGCCGGCCTTGGTTCACCTGCAATTGAAATGCGTGTACCAATTTGCATGTCAATATTTGTTTGTAGTTGGCCCCTGGGTTGTTGAGGGCATTTCACCGTTGTAATCTGCTGCTGTACCTGTCCATCATCTACATTTTGTATAAGATTGGCAGTGTATATCTGCAGTTGTAGCATTGTGTATCTGTCATATGTACCAGGTTTTATTGTTGAATCCTTCATCATTTCTAGCCTCTCAAATATACCACAAAGTGGTTACTATATTGGAAAAGGTCATCAGTGGTGTGTGGGTGAAGAAGAGGAGCTAGGATGTCCTGCACCCCATCCTATTCTTGAGGTAGAAAAGAAGTGCAGAGAGGAGGGTTGGCTGCAAACCACACTGCTGTAGTGAACTGTAGTGGAAGAACAGGTGAGCATCATTTTCTACCTGCCCACATAGGTGCTAATGCTTATGAAGTGAAAGCTTTGATAAATTGTGCTAGCGTCTTGTGTTTCTAAGCACAGTGTAAGATCTGTCGTGTTCTGGATCCCTGCGACGGTAGATGCACCTCCAAATATGTAATCCCTCTTTCCTTTTTTATTTGTCGCTTTGGTATTCTGGTTAAATTTTCTTAAGTTTAACTAGGTTTATAAAAAATATTAGTAATATTTATATCTCCAAATAAGTTTATTATAAAAATGGATTTAATGATTTATCTAATTATACTAATTAAGGGGGTAGACCTAGTGTCGGAGACTCTCACATGAGTGGGGTCTGGGGAAGGAAAAAACCGAGGCAAGCCTTCGCTCCGCAAATCTGTGGTGTATTATAAATAATAATATATTTTTGTGTATATTTAGTCAAAGTTGAGTATATTTGATTTCTTGATAAATGAGAACGACAGATAGAAAGGGACGGAGACCCTACTTAGGCAGCCATATGCCTCTTTGTCGAGCAAATACCTTTAGGAGCAGGCTACCATCTGAGTATGTCATTTTCTTGGCTGTGGATTGTGAGTACCTGCATGATTGTATTAACTGCTTCCTGGCTGGGCCGGGGGTTTTGGGCTGAAGCGAGCAAATGCAAGGATTGTGTTATAGCCCCGATCAGCGGGATCGGAACCGATTTCCTAAAAAAAAAGACAAGCTGGATCGGAACCGAGGGAGAAGAATGGGGGTTTGGATAGAAATCGTCGGCCGACGAGGTCCGGTCCAGACAGAGAGTAGTATTGAGTTATTGCAAGTTTGTTGAATGCCTCTCCCTTACGCCTCCTGCTTCTTATCTACTCCAGCTTAATGGGCTCACACATGTTACAAGCCCATTGCGGGCCACTCACACGGGTACTCTGGGCCTAGGCTCTTGCACCGTGCCTTGGCTTGGGCTCCTCTGGAGATGGGCTTAGGTGAGGACTGGTGACATCCCCCCTCCTGGGTACGGCATGTCCCCATGCCGGAGCAGCTGGAACCGTTGATGAAAGAGATTTGGCGTAGCCGGATTTAAGGGTTATTTGATACCAGAGCTAATTACTAGCCAGCTAAAAATTAATTAGAATTAGCTCTAGTACATCAAATAGGAAGGTTAATAGGTGAGCTAATTTTTTAGCAAGGTCTTCAATTGTTACCCTACCAGGCAGCCAACCATAACTAATTTGAGCTAAGTTTTTAACCTCAAATAGTAACAGTCGTGTATATCAAACACATGTCCTGACTCAGGGTCATAACTAATTCTTAGTCGGCTCTAAATTAGTTAGGAATGGATCACTAGCAAAGTACCTTCACTGACACCTAGTACTACTTGTGTAACGCAAACGGTGATCATGACCATTGATTATTTTAGTTTGCAGCGGAGACGCGCGCGAGTTTTTCTAAGATCAGCGGCTGAAGATGCTTTTGCTGGCGCGGACCATGCGTAAGGCATTATAATTATAATATCCCAGGAGATCATGTGCTAGTATTATATTAGTTTATTTGAAAGCTAAAAATTATATTAGTATAGCTACCTGGCACTGTGTTGGCCAGTTGGCCTGATCGAGAGGTCGAAGCATCTACGACACACAGGCCTACGTAAATCAGAAAACACATGATTTGACCAGAAGGAAAAGCAAATTTTCCACATGTCCCTGTGACCACATGGCTTATCACAGACGTCACTGTACATACAAGTATCCAACGGTTGAGACGTAGTGCATGTGAGTTAAGGATATGGAGCCATAGATATAGTGCAATCAATGATTGAGATGGAGTGCAATATGGTGTGTATGGATGGTTGAGATAAGCCAGGCCTGCATGAATTAGAGAACACATGACTTAACCTGACCTGAAGGGAAGCGAAATTAACATTTGCAGATAATTTTATTTATGTGTTCGATTGTCATCTTTTCATTGTGCCCACTGTACTCATCGACACAAACTATATAGTTATCGTTGACCAATTTTAGCTTAAGCTATTGTCGTACCCTCTCAAATTTTCTTTTTTCCCCTTATTTCTATTATGTGGTTGTGCTATATTTTATTTAGGCAAAATCAAGGTAGCTTTCCGTTTTCTCTTGGTAAGCTCCATTACTGATTAAGCATTGTCCTAGTCTTTCACAAAGTATTTAGTTTCTTGGCCCTCGGATAAATTTAAACTTTAGGTCCACTACCATTTCTTCTGGATCTTTAGTTTCTCTTTATTCTTGTTATTACCGTATTCTTTTTTTTTGAAGGGGGGGGAACTTATATTAAATCTTGACACAGTATACGTCCCCAAATTACATATGAAAAAATTTGAAATAAAAAATACATAATATTCTATCCAGATTCTTCCATCGTCTTCTTCTCCAATGACTTTCCTCGAGCGTCGGAGCCAAAATGCAGTCCTTATGCTGAATCCAACGACCAACCAAAAATCTTGGACATGCCGCAAGATCCGACGCTTTAGACCAGTCCAAAACACATCTAAATCGCTGAAAGAATATGGCAGTTACATCATCGGGTATAACATAGGCTGCACAATCATCACAGTTCATCTTTAGCTGGACCATCGACGATGAGATCGATGACTCGGAGTCGCTGTCCTCACAAAGGGTTTCTAGAAGCACCCCTGCCCTTGCAGATAAATGCCACAAATTAGCCGTCTGCCAATGAAATCAACGCCTGCAATGGCGACCTCGTCATGGCAATCAATGATGTCACCACAGGAACACGATCCAGACCGAAAATCATCTGATTTTGACAG